AACATAGCCTGCCTAATACAGTATTCTGTATTTCTTCCTGACTGGATAACCACGTCCAGTGGGATCACCTTTACTGTGGTCGAAAATACCAGTGAAGACACAGCATTATTTTAGGGATCTGGAACATCAGGACCCTCATGGGCAACCCCAATAGACAATGTCCAGAGCACCACACTGCAATTGTGGCCTGAGAATTCAGGTGACACAACTTCAATGTAGCTGTGGGAAATAGGCAGCTCAGAGAACATGGAGATGGCTATACCTTTTTCTGGAAAGGTAAACAGGAAGGAGAACACTGACTTCACAGAGTTGGTTTTGCCATTTAGAATGAATTCATAAACCAACTCAATGAGTTCCCTATCAGAATTAATGAGTGCTTCATGGTTCTCCATCTTAAACTGGCAGGGAGCCAATATGCCACTGTCATAATAAGCACATATGCTTCAACTTTTGAAGCTACCAATGAAACAAAGGAGAAATTTTACACCAGCCTTGACCAAGTCCTTTCTGATGCTCTGGAGAGAGAGAGTTATTCTTCTTGGTGATTTCAATGCCAGAGTTGGAAGGGACTCTAACCTCTGGAATGGAACCATTGGCAAGAAAGGAGTAGGAAAGGTCAACTCCAGTGGCATTCTCCTCTTGACCAAATGCACGGAACATGGACTTACCATTGCCAATACCCAGTTCCACCAGAAAAATAGGCACAAGACATCATGGTAACACCCACCATCCTAAGCATTGGCACCTGATTGATTATTATCTTCTTTGCCTGGGATTGCAAAGATGTCTGCATCACTTGAGCTATGCTAGGAGCTGATGATTGCTGAACTGATTACTGACTCATCTGCTTGGTCATGTCACTCAAACTGGCTCCCAAATGATGGCTGCAGCAGAAGCGATGCCAATGAAAGATCAACATTGAAGGACTCAAAGACCCAAGCATGCAATCCCTCTTCCACCAGTGCCTCAACAAAAAAACCCTGGTGAATCCCAATCAACAACAATGGGAGAATGTCAGCAGCAGGTGGGGTGCCCTCAAGGCCAGCAGTGTCAGCACGTGAGAAGAGACACTTGGATTTTCTACCAGGAACCATCAAGACTGGTTTGATAAGAATGAACAGGAGATCAAAGAATTCATCAATCACAAGTGCAAAGCCTTTTGTGCTTAGCAGAACAACATTATCTCTAAGCAAAAGAAATTGAATCTCCAACAAGTGAAGGCAGGGGTCCAAAGGCAGACATGCAATTATGAAGAATAAAGGGTGGGAAGACAGGGTTAAGGAGACTCAACATCTGGCTGACATCCATGATTTACATAGCTTCTTCAGAGCCACCAAAGCCATCTATGGTCTGAACTCTCAGTCATACGCCAGAACTATTTTTAGCAGCTAAAAAGTTTTTCCTCCTAGAACAAGAAATGGATCTTGTGTCTCCTCTTTAATATGAATGACCTAACCATTGGCCCATAGCCCTTTGTTCTTTCTCTTCTTCCTGCTCTGTGCTTGGCACAGTGATACCTCTATATTTTACATAAACTTGGAGAAGTTCATTAAAGGAGAATGAGAAAGCCTTTATAGCACTATAACTCCTGCTTGCACTAAACACCTATGACTTAGTGGGGCTAACGGAAACCTGGTGGGATTCATCTCACGACTGGGCAGTACATATTGAGGGCTATAGATTGTACAGAAAGGACAGGGTGGGGAAGAAAGGGGGAGGGGTTGCGCTCTATGTCAGTGAGCAATATATGTCAACGCTCATCAAGATGGAATCCAAGGATGAGGAGGTAGAAGGATTGTGGGTTAGGCTACATGGGGGGCAAGGAGAAAGGGATTTGGTGGTAGGGGTCTGCTACAGACCACCACATCAAGGGGAAGAAAGAGATTCGGGGCTCCTGAGGCAACTCTCGGAGACCATAAAAGCTAAAGAGGCGGTAGTCATGGGGGACCTAAACTACCCGGACATCTGCTGGGAGTCACAGACAGCAAAGTCCCACCGGTCACGCAGGTTTCTAACCTGTGTACAGGACCTCCACCTGACACAGGAGGTACACGGTCCCACTAGGGGGAATGCCATACTGGATCTGGTATTGGCAAAGGGGGGTGACATGGTTGGGGACCTACAGATCGGTAGCCATCTGGGGGACAGGGATCACCTAATAATAGAATTCACCATAAGACATCGAGTGGGTAAGGTAACTAGTAGGGTGAAAGTGCTAGACTTTAGGAAAGCTGATTTCAATGAACTCAGGCGATTAGACAAGGACGCACTGCAGAGTAGGAGTTTTGAAGTGATGGGAGCCCAAGAAGGGTGGCTGTGCCTTAAGGAAACGATCCTTCAGGCACAAAGCAAGATGATCCCCGTGCGAGGTAAAAGAGG